TACCAATATTAGGAGGTATTAGGTACTATGAAAATGGAACCACTTAGAAAAATTGAATCGGTACTTAACTACATAATATTATATTTGATAAACAGTGAAGAGGTACGTCTTGGAAAAATTAATTTGATTACGTGTTTTTAATTTTTATTAGAAAAAAAAAACAGTGATTATAATAATAAATAGCACAATCATAGCTGTGCATGGTGTGTCACAATTATTGTACATATTACATACATCCATTTTATTATATACAAATGATACGATGTAAAACAAGCACGTGGACCTGCTATGAGTACGTTATTATTATTTTATAGTATACAGGATGATTCACTTAACATGCTCACCCCTATTTTACATTAAACGATAAATTTATTCAAATTCTGATTTACGAGATTTTTAAATATACTTAAATACCATATTATTTTCAAGCACTTAGATTTGTTTATACTACTTAAAGAATATCCTGTGTTGATACAAACTTCTGTTATTCTTATGTAAACCCCTCTTTTAATTTTAAATTATTTAATGAATATTTATTTTGGAAATGTTGATGTGTACCAAGTATAATAACTTTTAAAAATGGTTTTACAAAAACATTAAATAGATGTAATATTTTGTAATTATAATAGAACAATAAAAAAAAAAAAAAAATTATTAATGTCGATAGATTAATATTGATTACTAAAAGTTAAACTCAATATAGACCTATAACTTCTAAACCCATTATCTTGGTTCTATTATTCTTATAATACGTAAAAACTCAAAAATTGTTCGTTTGATTTTTAATTTTGACACGTCTGCATTTTTAAAAAAATTACTCACTGAATAATTTACAATAGAAATAATGTGGAGCCTTTTCATTTGAAAAATAGAAATTTGTATCTCTACAGAAACTTTATGAGTCGTAAAAAAATGTTCACGAATTCAAGAATATGGTCATTCACTGGGTATATTTAAAAATTCCAAAAATAGGATTTTGAATAACTGCATTATTAAAGAAAAAAGGGGGTTGGCATGATTGGTAAATCACCTCATATACGCGTACGGGTGACCACGCAGCATCATAGAAGATATAATTCCTATACCCATGATATAGACTTATATTATAATATAATAGGAAGATTACGCACGCTACGTGATTACTTTACAAACCAAATTCATTGATAGGTATGCGTTTATTTTATGCATATAAAAGCGGCGTTTTATGTCAACCGAGCATATAACGTGATATCATTACGATACAGTCGGAATGTGATCAGAGAACGACGAGTGAAATGCAGACAAAAAAATAAAAACTTACGTCTATTACGTTCTTTTTTACAGGGTGTAACGTCTTGTTTGTCTACGTGTCAATGGCCGTGTTTTATTTTGCATATTAAAATAATATTTTTTTTTTGGAAAATATGATTTTGATAAAAACATAGATAATGAGCAATATAATACAGACTGTTACGAATTCGTGATATGAAATTATTTTAATCTCTCGAAGTAAAAACGGCGCTGAAGTAAAAGTAGTGGTGTATCGCCGATCGGGATGTACCTATGCGAGGAGTCGATGAAAATCAAAACCGCTGGACACTCGGTATACATGTGTGGGTATATACTATACATTATACACAGTAAAGAAAATAATATTCACAATGTAGTTTTTTGAGGTCTATCGGAATAGCGCGTGTTAACGGACATTATGTTTGATGTGTGCTTTACATATAATACGTGTGTGCTATTATAAACGATACGCGTGGCACAAGTGTTGTTCGTTTATTATAATATTATAAACAACACAGCTAAAACACTATGATAGTATAACATGTCACATGTATTATATAAACGTTGCACAACGTACAGGAAGCGTTTCCACAAATTCCGTTTGGCGAATCCGAGACGACCGCGACATCGGTTTCGTATGTGATTCGTATTATTGTTTCGCCGAGTTCAACGTCCGTACGCGTATCACTAATTATAACAATGATTGGCCGCAGCATCAGTCACCACTTGCTCCGGTGCATACGAGCACACACGTGTATACATATGTATACAAACGCGTGCGATGTTAACCCATTGATTGTGTTATAAGTTATAACCCGACTTGGATTAACTGTTCCCAATTAAATTATGCAACAAAGTATGGGTGTACAGTGTGACGGATGAGTTAAAAATAATTAAAAAGAAAGCGATTTTTTTATTATTATTATTATTTTAAGGCGCGGGCGAGTGAGGGACACGTTATGTCGTAAAGGTTTCTTTTAATAATTTATGTGTAACTTGATCGCGCTCGAAAATAAAATTGTTTTTTGAACATCTTCATGCGAATAAGTACCTAGTATTAATAATGTACTATCATGATATTATTACTATTTTGTTTAAAATAATACAGGAAAAAATATTTGATATTGTTAGAACTTCATATGTATCTGTATTTCAACGCAATACCGCTGTTTTTGTACCTACGCAATCGTTGGTTAGCTATAGGCTAAGATTTATAAATCATTAGAAAGTAAAACAAAACCAAAATCCTTTTAAATGATTAATCGAATAATCGATTAATCTCTTGAATTGGAATCCGACAGAGAAAATGTCCCACTCCCGAAACGGTTATTATGAATAGTGAATAATATCGATAATATAGCTATATAGTATATACTACCTATATCGATATCGAGCGACAACACATGAGTTATACTTCTTACGATTGTTATAGGTATGTACCGCTGCGGCACCGTCGTGATTTCGACGCAATTATTAGACGCACACAAATAATAACGTGTAATAACTAATAACCAATAATTTTGAGCAAATAATAATAATAATTTACTGAACTGAGTTTCAAAATAATGCAGGTAACACGCATGGTAAATATTTATCAAATATTCTAATAATACTCATATAGTATATACCTATATTATTCTTACATAGTTAATTCTATGCGTAAATTATAGATTTTCATATTAACCAAAAACGATTATTTTATGCCATATTATTCTCATATTAATTTCAAATTACACGAACAAATTATAAATCGTACATATCATATAGGTACCTAATATCTTATATTCTTATTATAATAAATGCCCGAATATTTTAACCGTAATCTTATTAAAGCCAGCTTAAATATATATATATATATATATATATTATTTTTTCAATACATACTCTAAATTCCAACAGGTAAATATTATAATTTCTTCTTCGCACACTATATATTATGGTCGATAAATCAATCTATTATAGTTCATTGAAATATTTAAATTAAATTAAACTAAAACTACCAACAACGAGCAGTCGGGATACTGTTAACCATTGATTTGCCATCGAGAAGTTGCAAAAAAAAAAATTCCAATCAATTTAAAATTAAATGCAACTATTGACATTAATTTACACTCGTAAACAATATACACATAATACAGTATATACGAGTATGTATATATAACAAGGGAAACGATGATAAGATATTACATTAACGCGTTCATAAATTAAAATGTTTAATATTTTATACAACTTTAATAGCCATGATACATTCTGATACTTTTAGGTATTGGAAATATATTATGACTTATGAGTTATAAATAATTTTAATATGTATGTAGGAATACCGATCGAATTTTAAAATATACCTAATGTAGGTGTTAAAATTATTATTATTATTTTTAATGTACCTCTTACTAATTTTTTTTAAACTTCATAAAATTATTAAACATATTATAAACAAAAAAAAAAAAAAACTCCGAAACATTTAATCTGTCAAAATACCACGTTCTATACATATACTAGTTGCGTGCTGTCAAATATAATTTTTTTTTCTAAGACGTGTATCCCAATATACCCAACCAGAATGCAAATTATACATTTTTGAACACGTTATGTTTCTTGTGTTTGATTTATAACGATTTTCATTCGAAACGAAGTTATACAACTGTTCGCTAAGATAAACTAGATACAAAATACACATATTTTGTGTACGGTATAGGTTAAATCACTGTCATACATGCATATTTTCGCTAAACATAACACATTAAGAATGGATCTCTTTCTATTTACGTATATCTATGTATATATGTGTAAAGACCCACACAAAAGTATAGGTACACGCGTCGATATTGTTGAAAATAATATGCTACATTGTGTCTAACACACTGTATAAATTGTATAAATTGTGTATACATAAATCTTGTTAAAGGTGCTTTTTTTTTTACGCAACACCAAAAAAAAAGCGAGATTACAATCAAAAACATCATCAAAGTCGATCGAATCTAAGATACCTACTATAGATAACCTGCCTATAGCCGTGTAAAGTTCTTAATACCTCAGAGGCTTTAAAAATCACATATTATGCATTATACTTGAATCGATTTAAACCGACACTACATTATCACAAAATGTATATCCAAACTATATTCTGCAATATACAAAATATTATATAAATAAAACGTTGCATCACTTGCAGGCACGTTGCAGTACGTGTACGACCTACAAGTACGATGTACATTGTATTTACAATGTGTGCTTAACTATAATAATATGGTGTTTTATATGAGAAAAAAATCACTGCTACAGGCAATGATGCGACTATAGTATAGTATAGTATAGAGAACATACCTAATTGTCACAAGTAGGTTGTAAAGCTGCTCGATAAGATATTGTATAGAAAACACGCACACGCGTGATCGGATTGTACCGCGGCGTTGTGATATCATGCCTGTTACTTATATTATAATATTATATCGCTTTATCATCGTTAATTATAACGAAAAAAAAAAAACGATAGTTCGATAAACGAACGCATTATTACGAACCACGATCGTCTTTTTTGTTTTTAAATATTTAAGTTTCTATATTGTATTATATTAAATAGATGCACATGCACATATAGGTACAACATGACGCGATTGCGTCACTGTTTAAATCGAAGTCGTGTTTTGATATTATCATAGGTACTATGAAAAATTTTATCATAACAATACAAATATAATAATTTTCTATAATATGCGTGATTGTCTTACCGAGCCATAAAGTAAGCCGCATGCGTCCATGCACAAGTACATACAAGTTGCTACGCCTTGGATGTTTAGCTGCCCCATGTTCACCGAAGTTCTTTGCAGGATAACTGAAAAAAAAAAACAGATGAAAATGTTCATAAATTCATAGGTCTAAGCACGTATGCAAGATACAAGTATGATAATATATTTTGGTAGAGAAAACGTGTATTATATCATATTGTAGTCACTATTAAATAGTGCGTACATATTATATTATATAAACCACCTGGAGCCTTGGCTCACACTTATTTGTATACTATGACACGTTCCATTGTTAAATAAAAAGTTTTGGCATAAAGATTTTATAACGTTGTAAAAATTGTTATAGCGATTATATAGAATGACGATTAAAGTGCGGTGATATACATGCTTTATAATAACAATCATATAATAGTGTGGCGCCATTAAACGCATATATATATGCGTATTAATTTTCGACGATCTTGCCTATAATATTTAAGTTTTATCAAAATTTCAATACATCACGTATAATAGGTACTTAAATTCGAGTTACTTGTGTATACCTAATTAAAGGCGTATAAAATAGTTGTATACACAGTGTTTTATTTTTTCGTTATCGTTTTTGATAGAACAGAATTACTATCAATAGACATCTATATTGTGATAAAGTAGTATACAACATATTTTTATATTTTGATTGCATCTTGATAGTCATCAACATCACGATAATGCCGTGTAATAATCCGCAGTAAATACAATATAATCCCATCGATTTTAAATCGTTAATAGCATATGATAGGATTAATTAAATGTTTATGCCATAAATTAATAAATAGAAAAGAGTATTAAACTCACATAATGAGTATTTTCTAAATAATAATTGTTAGTGTGCTGATAAATCGATAGTATATTATTCTGAAAATCCATACTTTTTGTCGTTTAAACTAAAGAATATAATAAAATATATATATAATACAACAGTAATAAGTAAGTTATATCTTGAATCCGTGACGTTTATGCCATTCCATTAGCTATAATATCATAGATTATAATGCTAAAATGTACCTATGCACTTCTATACGTATAAATATTTAAGTCAAAATATAATAATATATATTTCTTTATGGAGGACATATTTTAAGCTTTTTAATGATTCATGGAAAATATTTATTTTTTTTACAATGAATGACAGAGAGTTAAAAACAACATTGTAACATTGTACATATTATATTTATAGATAATATGTGTATAAGAGCTCGTGGCAGCTTAAAGCGAATTAACTCAAGATCATAATATATAAATTATTTTAACATAATAAAATTTAACAATAAATGTACCCATAACCTAGCTATGTGTACGACATGAAAACATATTCCACTCGTTTTGCCGTCAGTTTGTAAAAAAAAAAAAAAGAAAAAATTAAAATAAATACATAATAATTGAGATTATCGTAAACGTTATGTGACCAAATGAGAGTCCCTTCAATAGTTTTATGTAATGTTGCAGTTTTTAAAACCTGATATTAGACAGCAAAATGGTTTTTTCACTGGCCCGAACCTCATAAACATATTTCACTATACGTAAATTAGTACATTAATAAAGAGGAGATCGTGTTAAGGCTAACGAGTTAAATAGTTATTATTATTATTGTTATTATATAAGTTTCTAACGACGATCCATATAAACATAATATAGTAATAATAATATTATTATTATTTTTATGATCATAGATGTAATCGAAAATGTATATTATAGCAGGGGGGCGGTTGACGGTTGCATTTAAAGCATCCGACTCATAAGAATAATAACTGTCGGGGAAAAAAAGGAGGCGCCTGTTCGAAATCGATTAGAATATTAAATGCATATAATATTATTATATATAGTTGCCGGTCAGAAAAACAGTGCCATAAGGTTCCCGTGCGGCAACCGGTTCGTCAGTACGTATATAATATATGTATTATGGTATGTATACAAGAACATATTTATATGTGACTCCTAAGCTCATTAACACAAATTTGAATTTAAAGGGAAAATAATAAAACACTTATCCTTATCTAAACCCCAAAGTATTGTTCCGATCTCGAGTGGGATTCAGGAATTTTATACTCAAATTGACACCAGCTATTATATTATGTAGATAGGGACCAGCACCGCCACACACCAAACACTGACCGTGATTAAAAAGACACACATATTATTATAAATGTACGCCATACACGATGCAGCTTCAATTTTTATATCCGAAAACAAACTTTATGTGTATGTCCCGTCACCGCGAACAAAAACGCGTGTTTATTTAGTTTTTATTTTTTTTATATTATTAATACGTATATCACCCCACGAGAGTATTTTACGATTACGACCGAATTACACGGGCTTTCAAGAAAGATAATAGGAAACCATAAAGGCGTCCAAAAAGTGAAATTGCCGGATGCATTGTGTTCGTGCACCTATATCGTTTTATGACCTTTATCCCGATAGATGCGTTTACTTATAGTGCGGCGGTCGGAATCGCTTCTTCGTAAACCAACGGATTTATATATTATATCAAAGCACGTAATATATAAGAATAAGATGGGTATACATAATAATATTATACCGTCGACAAGTAACGCTGTGTATGCGTGTATGTATGCCTATCGTATGTGTATGTGTGTGTGTGTGTGTGTGTGAGAGTATAATGCAGCGCGTTTTTCATTTCCACACAATACGCCCGATGAGTTGAGACGACGACGTCCATTTATTATAATGTTATGTTCTCCCCTTATTTGAAAAATTTCCGGTCATAACGACTTTAAGCGACGCTTTCCCGACGATGTGAATTCCGCACACAATAGAGTTACGTACACATCGTATAGGAATATAATAGCATTTATGTAGTATAATATGCCATGGTATGCGTGAGTAAATGGTAGCATTCGAAAATTTAAACGAATAACAGGTATACTATCGTATTATCACGTTCTACATAAGGGTAATCCGTTGAAATCCGATCAAAAATATTAATTATGACTAATGATTCTAAAGTATGCTTTTTTCAGGCTAAACATACTATATAATGATACAATTTTCATTTTAAAAGTACCGCACACATATCTTACACGCACGCTGTGGCGTTTTCTCTCACACACATTCACACGCGCGCGCGCGTGCGTAGACATTTGTTAAACTCGTCATCGTTAACTGTTGACAATATACATTTATATAAGTAGGTACTACGAAAGTCCTTAAGGTTTTCGTGAAGAAAACGTAGAAAATCCCACCAACAACTATTTATTTTTTTGTAATGAAAGTGCTATGTTGTGTAAGGTTTTATTAACAATTTGCCCGATAAGTAGAAAAAAAGATTTTCAGAGAACAGCTAATCTTGATATCCCGTGAGCTAGTTAAGTATTTTACAAATAAATGATATAAACATGAAAATAAAGAGCATTAATAAAATTCTTCCGTTTAAACTAGAAACAAAATGTTTTATCTCAAAGAAAACAAGTTACAATACCATTAGATACATTAAATTATTTTTTTTTAGAGTAGATAAAAACGTTTTTATATTTAATTACTAAAACGTTACGTTTCAAGTTGAATAATATATACCTCTATATGGTACTCCACCTCACCTACTTCTATTTAAGAGAATACCACGCACCCGTATGTGTGGCCTTAGTCTTACAAATGTACAGCATGGTAAGTTTTTGTACGGCAGAGTCAATTTTAGCTTTAATATACTAGAGTGAATTGACTTATTAACAAGTTTAAAGGTAAAAGTATTAACTTTGTATTTACGTTTATTTTTATATCTAATAATCGAATTTTTATATTGTAATATTTTACGATTCATCCTCCTATGACCTATAGCTTTAATTTATTCACGCGCATTATTTTCCATTTGTATCGGGCTTTATAAACAATCGTTTTAAGTTAAACATTTCTTAATTTATACTTTATAGGGACATTTTTCAGTATTCAAACATTTTACTCTATTTTAGAATACAACGCTATACTATATCTTACAACTATTATTGATGCTATGTACAATGAACACATAACTAAGATTATAAAATAAATCATTCAATTACTCGTTATAACCAAATTATTTTATGATAAACCGAAAAAAATGGAGATTTAAGATAAACTGATGTCAGATTCTTAGTATTCATTCGAATAAATGTATAAACAATAAATTCTAAAAAATAAGTTAAACTTATAACTTATAAGTTATATATAGTTAATACATAAAAATAATAAAAGTAGTCATGAATATGATCCTTATGATAGAGAGGTTTGAATTTAACGTTATGTAAACAAAACATATTGATTCAAGCAATTCATGTGAATCTATCATTAAGGAAAAGTAGACTATTTTAAGATTTATACCGACAAAAGTTATTTAAAGATCAAATAAAGTTTTTGGCTAAAGTATTATTATTATTATTATTATTATCATTATTATTATTAATATTATTATTATTATTATTATTATTATTATCATTACTATTATTATTATTATTTTATGAAAAATTTAAGATCCTTTGGTGCAAAAAAAGTATTATATATATTTTATTTAGGTTTAATCTGATAAAAATTATAAAACAATTTTGAAGATTTTCATAAAACAAAAATATGTTGGTAAACATAAATATAAATATAAATAGGAAAAAAATGTATAATAGTTAACAGTCGATAACAAAATCTTAACCTAAACATACATTGCGCTTGAGAAAAATTCTTGATATAGAAAAAAATCAATAAAGTTTGCTACCTGATTCGTTACAACGAAAGAAATCTAGGGTAAAAGATGCGGAACTAAAGTAATAATTATTGTAAAATGGAACGTGGAGTAGATTAATTAATCTTGTAGGTAAAGTGATTAGTTATATTAAAACCAATCATTGAAAGTCATTCTAAGTAATCAATAATGCCGTTTAATACATTAAATATAAGAACAAGATATCAGTAACTTTCCTTCTTAAATACTCAATAATTCACACGACGTCATTCCCAGTTGAAAAAATTGCAAACTAGCTGATCACACCAAGTGCGGTATCCACTCACAAATACCGCTTAAGAGTCGTCATTGAATTTAACATGGTCAATCATTAATTTTGAA